TTTAAGTGTGGGAGAGCCATGCTTCGGCACGAATGGGCCGGCTCGACCGGAGTGATACCACGGCTGAGCAGAAAACCGACGTAAAGCAACGCTTGCGTTGTGTTTCGTCGTGTGAGTGAGGTTACCGGAGGCCCAATTACCCTCCCCTTCCCCAATCTCCCCAATCCCTGAATCCCCAACGATCCTCAAACTCCTAATCCCCAAAAAGCCGGTAACGCACTTGTAACGCCTCTGGTGTTCCAGGTGTCCATGGGCGACGCCGATTGCTTACCATCAGGTGATCCGTCTAATCGTTTACCGGCTTATGCCATAAAAAAATCCTCAAATTCCCAATCCCCAAAAGGCCAGTAATGCACTTATAACGTCTCAGGTGTATATGGGCGGCGCCGATTGCTTATCATCAGGTGATCCGAATGATCGTTTACGGGCTTATCCCATGCCATTACCATAAAATAATGATTAACTTTTTAACTCCTTGCAGCTGGCCTCTGGAACATGATAACCTTCAACTCAACAGCTCGGCAGACGATATACACCAACCCTCCACTGGACAGGCAGGAATTGCAGGAACGAGTGAAGAAGGAGCATCCTGTTGCCAACCAGTCATGTCTCCTATTGCTGACACTGGCTAACCATTGTATGAATGATGATAACTTGTATAGGAACGCTTTGTTATGCTGTGAGGATACGGCGGGTAAGGACTCTTTACTACATTCTTTTTTTTATTGGAATAGGAAGCAAACGAGCAAACGGATCACGTTTGCTATTGTGATATTCATATTTAATCCAGATTGTTGTGGAAAAATTAATTTATATATTATATCAAAATTAAGGCATAACATAACATCACGCCCTTTTATTTCCGAAGTGGTAGGCAGAGGTGTACATTTACGGCACTTAATGCCACTGTACAATGTAACACTCACTTTTCACTATTTATGTTATGAGTCCCATGTAATGGGGGGTGAGCCTATTGACATATACCGGGCACAATTCCAGGGTCAGTGCTACCACTGAGAATTTAAAAAAATCTTGTAATGCTTTGTCCGACCCGGGAATCGAACCCGAGACCCCTTGCCTAGCAATCTTTCAGGCAGTATTACAATCTGTTACTGAATATTACAGCAGACGTATCACCTGATGGTAAGCAATCACCATCGCCCATGGACACCTAGAACACTAGAGGTGTTACAAGTACCTATATAAAGTTACCAGCCTTTTACTATAATAAATCACAGTCCTACCTCAAAATTTACAGAAACTTCAGCACCAACACCACAACGAGAATCGAACGGTGGATCACAGGTGACACCGCCGAGAATCGACATGGCCGCTGTAAGTAAATCAATTTAAGGCTTTGACTGCCGACAGAAAGCTGTTGAAGGTGCGCTAGCGTGGCCCATACCTTGTCCCCCATGGCGTTCAAGGTATTTGTGTCTTGTTCAAGAATTATTTTCGAAAAAATCTTTACATAGAGAGGAGTGGGAGGAGGGTAGGGAGGTCTTTGCACAGCAGTGGGACGGTCATGGCTGAAAATATTTCTTTCTTTTATTGTATTGAACAGTCGCAATAATTTATTGTTGACTAGCTGGCCCTGCAAACTCCGTACCGCCTATAAATGTTTTTTCTCACCTTATAAACCTTCCTTGGACTCCCACGAACATTTCAATACTAACATTACCCAAATCGGTTCAGCCGTCCCCGAGTTTTAGCGAGACTAAAGAACGGAAATCGATTTTTATTTATATAGATTAGACTCGTCGAGTACCGTCATTATAGACACAATTATAGAACAATAGGTTGCGGTCACCGGTGACCTCGCGGTGTTTGACAGTTTAAGGATATAATAGATAGATAGGGAGGACCCAATTCGCATGTAAATTTCACATGTGCTATGTAAAATTTTTCGTGACGTCATTTATCCATGGCCTATGCGCGTGAGCTGTCATTCAAAATGTGTCATATGTGGCCACAATCTAAATAAGTATATGCGTGTATGCCCCAGTGTAACATTGCGTACATGTCATATTTTCTTTTTTTTTTTCTCTCTCTCTCTCTCTTTGCTGTTAGTTTATTCTCCGTACCTTTATTTCGCTGATTTTCTACTTAAATCCTAAGGTTGACTGGTAGAGAATGCCATATGGCATTAAATTCGCCTTATGTGATATAACATATGATA